GGTGAGAAACCTTACAAGTGTGAGCATTGTCCTAAAGCCTTTACTGTAAAATCTGCTCTGAAGTCCCACATACGAACACACAGGTGAAAAACCTTACAATTGCGAGCAATGTGCTAACTCCTTTGCAAGGAAACGTTCTGGTAAACCATATCTGAATGCACACAGGTGAAAAACCTTACACGTGCGAGCAATGCCTTTTTCCAGGGTGATACTCTTAGTTACCATGTACAGACACATGCACATACCTGCCAACTATTCCGAATTTTTCGTAAAATGTACGAATTGGGACTAATTTTACGATTTTACGAATCTTGCTTCAAATCTTACGAAAAATATATTTTTTTAATTTTTTTAATTTTATTTTATTATTTTTTTTTTTTGTTGATTTTGTAACTCCGTTGTTGGCGGTATCTTCCACTGCCACAAGAGGACGATAGGTACCGTCCACAGCAGCGTCGTGGTTTTTACTATCCGTCTATCCGGTAGCCACGGATCGAAAAACCAATCCAAAGCTCAAAGCCTTTGTTCGTGTGTTCGGCAGTGCACGGGTCGCGCGTTGGTTCGGCATGTTCAGACGTTGTTGGGCCTCGTTGTTTCGGCCAGTTTCGAGGCGAGAAGTATGGCGTCTCTGTTGCACGTGTAACTGTAGCATTCTCCTGGTCACTGTGGCTTCGCAGCGCAAATGCTGAACTCCAAACCCTCAAAAGAGGTACTTTCAGGTGTTCCTGAAGTCCTACACGTCGAAATTTCCATGCTTCGTGCCGCCCAAAAAGCGAGAAGTTTGTATTCTGTAGCACGTACACGTATGATGTAAGCGTTTCGCACACTGGACAGGCTGACATTACGCTGCACATCGCTTCGCGTAACCCCCCCCCCCCCCCCCCCCCCCCCCCCCCCCCCCCCCCGCCGTGGGCGCGGGGCTTTTACGAATTTGAAAGTCCACAGGTTGGCAGGTATGCATGCAAGTGAAAAACATTGCGGGTGAGCCCTGTGCCTTCCTTCGGAAAAGCAGGTTTACTTGCCACATGCGTAAGCACTCTGGTTAATGGCCTTTGAATTGCATACAGTCCCAAATCTCTTGCTTGGAGTAATTATCTAGCTGCACTCTTGTTCACCTGTGTGATGTTAACCTTAGAAATGTGGAGCATGTAATATCCTGTCTTGCTTCAACATGTATGTTTCAAGAGCATTGTAAACCTAATGGTGTTAATATGAAGCTGACTGGCAATGAGCCTTACAGCACCAGCAATGTCCTAGACTGGTTTCCTACATGTATCATGCAGTCTGTTTCGTTTAAAGGGCAACTCCGCTTCATTTTTGATATTTAGAAAACTATGTAGCCCTCTTCAGTATCATATAGGAAGACCCCATATCAAATATTGCGATCTAATTTCGTTTATATATTTAATAAACTGGCCAACAAACCTTCAAGCGAGCCAAGTCGCCGAAATCTGCCAACTCTAGCGTGCGGCGCGAGGCGCAATCATCAGCGCAGTCAATGCCACGGAGTTGGAGCGGCCAACGTTGAACCACTACGTCAGAGGCATGTGTACGTCATTCTCACGTTTTGCTTGTTTTTACTTCTCAGAGCGAAATTGAACGATGACGTCATGAGTTTCTCCTCCCGGTGTTGGCTGACCGGGCGTTCACGTGATCACCGTAACGCGGATGCGCTAGTTTGCGCTGCCCTGCGCGCTTATCGGTCTGTTTCTCCGCTCCCCTTCTCCTCTTTCGTCTTCTCCCCTTCCCTCTCTCCCCTTCCCTCTCTCCCCCGGGCCATCACCATCCACGCCAAGCGAAACGACCTGCCCGCGTCCAATAAAAAAAAAAAAAAAAAAAACCTGCCCGCGTTGCGTGTCCTGTTTCTCGCTCCCTCCCGAACGTCACAAGGCCACGTGGTTCGACGTGACGTGCCATGACTCTGACGACCCGAGACCAATGTTGCCTGACTCAACCGAAGTTTCGGTTTCGGTATCAGCTGGTGTTTAAATTAGGATTACTCAAAAATTATTCCACATTTCGCGAATCCGAAGACGTAGAGTTGTTTAGTAGTACTTTGTGAATGTGAGTCACATGGAAGCCTAAATTTTTCGAAATTGAGCGGAGTTGCCCTTTAAGCCTTTGACCAGAATGCCTCGTTGCATAAATGCAATGGTGAGTGAAGGATGATTTCAAGCCAGCAGTGGTATAGTAGGTCAGTTGTGAGGGCAATTTTTCTTTATACTTCATTACAGTGAGAGGGTCAAGGGTGGAAAAATGAGTTAGCCACACGACAATACAAAGTGATCCATACTTTGGCTCTTCTCCATGGTCTGTCACTGTTGCTCCAGATGTGCTGTTTCAGGGTGGGGCATAAATATGTTTTCGAACATTTACACCCTGGTTGTTTGCTTGTGTTATTCGCAAGAAAGCCTTGCAGAAAATAAAGGCATGACTGGAGTTCTGCTGTTTTTGGGTAGTAGTTGGAACTAAGGTTGCCACGAACCTCCCAATGATCGGGTTGGAAGGTTCCTAAATATTTGGACTTCGCCAAGGTTCAAATTCGAAAAGTTTGCCATTTTAGAACCCCGCTGAGGTTCGAATTCGAATTGTACGATCATGTCAAGGTTTCTGAAAGTTTGAGTTCTAAAATTTTGAATATTTTGACATTCGTTCGAAAAATTAGAACATTTCAAATTTATTTCAGAATAAAGTTAGAAAAGTTTGAACATTCCGATTTTTTTGAGGTGCAAGTTCGAAAAATTTGGAAGTTGCGATTTTTAGTTCGAGGTCTTTGAATCTCACGAAAGGTGATCAAATTCCGCAGTTTCAAACTAAGTTTGTAAGAACTCTTCTAAAAAAAATCGCGAAATGTGCTGCAAATTTTACTGAAACATGGCAATTTCAAGCCTGCAGATCAGGGATCTGTTGGCCCACCGGTTACCCCGGGGCAACCTGCGGAGTTGTGCGCGGGAGAGGCTTTGTGCGGAAGTCGAAAGAAAAAGGTGCGAGGTATTCGGCCAAGGCCAACCCCCAGAGTGATCATTCAGCGCTTTACAAGCGACTTGCCAAGTGCAATTCGAACTCCATTTCACACATTCAAATCTTGCGTTATTTATTTTTGTTGCCTTGAACTTAAGGGGGTGATCTTGGTTTGAACTTCATCGAACTTTAGTTCGAAGTACATTGAACTTCCAAACTCGGCAAATGCGTTGCAAAAGATGGGCGTTGCAAGGTTCGACATTGTGTGACCTCTTCATGACTGCCCTCTACCAAGGTTCAACATGCAACAAAAGACGTCTTGGGTTGTCCTTCGCGGGACATCTGTTCTGTGATATCCTGGTCCTTAGAAAAGGTTCGGGTGTGGGCTAGTATGGTTTTTTGCTTCATGCAAGATATACAGCTGGAGTGTAGTGAGTACACGAAATATGTTGTGCTTCAAAACGTCGCACCGTGTTTCTTTTGGTAGTCACATTTGGTTGATTGGCCGATTTCGGCTCAGGTAGCGCTTCGTCTCCTCAGCCTGTCAGTGTCCAGTGTTAACGTTGAAAGGGCATTCTCGAAGCCCAGGGTCATTAACCGGAAAGAATGAACTGCGATAAACGAGGAGAACCTGGGGAAAATGCATGTGTGTTTACTATAATAAGATCACGTAATCCTGATCTACAGAAGGTGAAGTTCTGTGTTTTTTGGGTACTAATTTGTTTGCACTTCTGGTTTTTTTTTTTACAGTTGCACAGATTTGTCAAATGAAGTGTCTGTTTTTCTCAATGTATCTGTGCCGTTATTTTTTGAGTGATCACAAATATCAGAGCTACAAGGATCATCTGATCCGGTGTCCAATGGTGTATCTTTCATATTCACCGAAAAAAGGTAAACTTTTGTGGGGATAAATATACTACACCGAAAAAAAAACTAAAATTGAATTTTAAAATAAACCGAAAAAAGTAGGCCGAATTTTGAAGAAATAAAAACGAAAACGCAGAACCTTAGATATTCCTCAGGATCGTGTCCGGCACCAGACAAATGTCGACACAACACTCTGGTTGCCGCCGTCGCTCATAGATGGCGGTAGGTGTCCAGAGTGTTGTGTTTGCCGGTTGTCTGCTTGCCGCCGTCGCTTATAGATAGCGGCAACCCCTCCAGCCTCGGCATCCAGGCAACTGTTCGCTGCCGTCGCTCATAGATGGCGGCAACATTTCTTCGGAGGAAGAAGAGCGGCGATGTGCGCAGCAGCGCGAATGGTTCCGCAACTGCCGCGAGGCCGCTATCGCCTAAAGTTCCACTGTCTAAAGTTCCTCCTTCACCAGAGTGGAAAGGCTGAAAGTTTTCTTACATAACTATCGATTAACATATAACTAAAAGCCAATAATATTTTTATACAGTATGGAACAGCTCCCTGGAATCAAATGTTCCATCACCGGTGTTTTTTTTTGTTTTTTTTTCTCCAACCAGTTATTATATAATATTGCCGGTTCAGGAGCTTTGAAAATGCGTGAACATGTGCTTGTCAACTGTCAAATCGAAACCACTTTTTTTTTTTTTTTTATTGTCCGAAACGATTGAAGACGAGGCCTCGACATTACCCTCAAAATTCGTAACTTGTGAACTCAGTATTTGTGAAGTAAAAAAAAAGAATACAATTTCCAAAAGCCGAATTTGAAGTTCCCGCGCGACCCGCGACAGTGCAGTGACGTCAGAGATTCAGTCGTTCTGCAACTCGCGTTTCTCTCACGCCTCCTTGTCGCGTTCGCCCCGTTCGCCCAGTGCGTTCGCCCGTGTCGCTTTCAGTTCAATCCAGAGATTGGCCGGTGGCTGGCGCCACCTGGCAAAAGAGTACATTTCGCTTTACCTTTAATTGTTGTGTACTAATTTAATTAATGTTACGCTCTACCTTTCCTTTGATTTTACCAAACATTACTTTTTTTTACTTAATCTTGTACGTTTAGAGGTAAATGTCCCCAGCACGGTGGTCCCCAGTTGGTGCAAGGGTAGGGAAAGCCAGAGCCGTATCCGGGTGAAGCTACCACCCAAACATTGGGTTGTTTTCTCGTTGTTTGGGCGGTTTGACGGGTTCGGTGCAGGTCCTCTCCTGGTGTCTGGACGGTCTGAACTAGCGTCTTGCGCTCTGAACTTTGGACGCTACAAGAAGTCGCGAGACGCGGCAACGATCTGACGTAGCTGAACACGGACGTCTTTTCGAATGGAGCAGTCCACGGAGCAGGGTAAGCGATCACGGTCTAGAGCTGCGATTGCCAAACAATGCACCGCGGGCTGTCCGGGGACTGCGTTCTATTGTTCAGAGCCGCGGTTCCCAGAAACAGTGTACTGCGGGAGTGGAGCACGATCGCCCCGAGTCCAGAAAAACACTTTTTTTACGTTTTGTATTCCCCGCGTTCCTAAAACCCCGTGTTCAATGATCCCATACACTGTACTGAGTAAAGCTATACGCACTCCGGAGTGCACTTCGGACGGAAATTGCTATACGCACTCGGCGGAGAGCTCATGCCGCTCGGGCCACCCTTTTCGAACGGCGCGTGTATCACTGGGGAGCTCGTTAACACAGCCCCCTAGGGAGGCTCAAGTAAGGGTGGGTGCAACTCCTAGATCGGGGATCACGGGACATGGACGCCATTTAATTGCTAAATTTTGCTGGGAGTCTATGGGGCAAAGGGTCGTTTTCTTTCCTAACTCAGGTTATAAACGCCCATTAAGGTGCTTGAATAATTTACACAAGGTATAAATGAGTACTTTTCCATAGCCATCAGTTTTGTTGCGATAGGTTAAGTATTTTTTAAACGCGAAAAATGGTAAATTCCGTCATCTTGGTCGTTGCTGCTTGTCTGGCAACTTTTCTTTCTTCTCTCGACGTTTGCAATTCTTGGAGCGAGAAGGAAGCGAGAGAGGCTGTGCCAAGGCGTTCGTTGCTTGCAATGGGAGGAGAGAGGAGGAAAGGCGCATGGAGCAACAGAGTTGCAACAGAGCGGGCGCCTGCTCTCATGCAGGCAACATTGGCGCGTATCCTTTCTCGAATCCTCTCCCTCAGGCGCCGCCATTAAATTGCAAACGCTCTCCAGGTTTTGAGTTGCGCCCACCCTCACTAGAGCCTCCCTACAGCCCCCCGCCTGCGTTTACGCCGCTTTGCGGCGACAGTATGCGGCTGCTAATTACAAAACTTAAAGGGGCGATGCAACGATTTTTGTATTTTGCGCAAATACCGCTTAGAACGAATCCCTGACGTTAATGACCTGTGAAATACCCGTTCGTTTTTCACTACACGCAATCGAAGTCGCCGGAAAATATAAAGAAAAACGAGCAGAATTCACCCCCTCAACTCGCAGCCAGAACAAGCGGCCACGTGATCTGGAGCCGATTATGTGCCACCAATGTTGATCATAGCCACGCGCTGGGGTTGGCAAAGCACAGGACACGCGCTGAGTTCCAGACATTGTTATGGCTCGGCTGTTGTCGTCATTGCAGCGATTGGACACGGGACACTACCCGAATGCTTCTCGAGCTATAGATTATCACGAGCCCAATTCGAGTGCCCACGCAATGCTCGGGTCCAATCTATGAGCCGCATTCAAATATCGTCACTGGGCGGTACTGCTACCGCCGAGCTACGTCATCAGGTTTTGCGAAGGAGAGATTGAATGAAAATGCTCGGTTTTGTCCTCAAAATTACAGCGCAACAAAAGAGTTTCTTGGTCAGTGGCTTTGCATGCGAGCATCTGTGAGTCCCATTAGTGCCAGTAAGCTCGTGTAAAGTGAACATCATTCCAATTGAATATTGTTGCACCGCCCCTTTAACCAGTACACGCCGCTTCGCGGCGTCCAGCCGGCAACCCAAGCCCCGCTGTCCCCGACCGCACTTTCGGAAAGGGAGTCCCATACCATTTAGTTTGTCGACGTTTAGTCCGCACAGCCTAAATTTTTAACTTTTAAACATGTATAGTCTGTGGACTATAGCCCGGAAAGTACGGTATTTGGCAGTATTTCAGACCAATGGCGGCGTGGGCAAACTACAGGGGGTGCTTCTTTAGCTATCATCATCATCGTTTGTGATGTCACGGGTAGGACAGACTGCACAGATCACGGATCCCTCGGCTCGTCGACTTGCTTCATGCGCTGTTTGGGTAACGCGCGGCAAAGCCTGTTTCATTCATGCATTGTGTTCATTTGGTGAAGCGGTATTTGTATTAGGACATTTTGCCAAATCTTGAAAACGTGGAATGCATGGTCGTGCTAACGAACACTTTTGGCGCTGAGGTGTCGAAGCGCTGGGATGGCGGTGTGCTGTTTTCTTCCCCGTACAAAAAGCTGGATGATGAAAATAGAATACCCAGCGCTTTACCCCACTACAACATGTACAACGGCGAATAGGGTGTATTTTTTTATTATGAGTCGGAAAAAATAAAACTGAGAAAGGAATGTCTCATCAAACTGAAAATAGGAAAGCGAAATTCAAGAACCGCACGTGTGTAGTAAACACTTCAGTGAAAGCGACTCGGATGTATCCTGTTGGTTCCAATGTGTTGTGGGCGCTGGTCTCTTATTTAGTTCCAAGTTGATTCCTTTTTGAATTTTGTAAACCAGTAAACAAGCATTTCCTCAAAATAACTGGCAGAAAGAAGCGGTGGCTGGCTTTTGGAGTTGTTTCAATTAAACCCCTACTTATTCACCCGGTTGACACGAAACGTGCGAGACTCCGTCGCTATCGAAGTTTTAAATCTAGTAAGTTGGTGGAGCTTCAGTGTCCCAAAAACGAATAACTACCGTTGCTATGTTTAATTTTGTGGACCAAAATGCATATAGTATGTGATGGGCTTCTCAGCGAGCGATTTTAAATTTGTGAACATTCCTGAGTAAAAATTTGATAGAACAAATGAATCAATTGCCTGAATTCGCCAGGCCATGTCCAACAATTTAAGAATTTATAATAATTTCTGCTTTTCTTTGAAGTAGAATTTGCAATGTCACAAACTTCTTTACCAGATATTCGATGCGCTAGCAGCTAAGCTTCAGTTGCTGACGAGACTTGCTTGTTAGCAACTGTCGAGTGACACTTGGATAGAAGCGTCGGTATCTTGAGCTCAATATAGTTAAAACAAGTGTGCAGTGCTTTACAACATAATTGTGTGTGCGTGCACAGCTTGAAGACAACCCGCAATTTACTCTGGTGAATGCAAAATTTTTCTTTACAGCAGCCTCCACAGATCCGAAAAAAAAAAACAACAAGAATCAGAGAAGCTGTGAATAGCCCCGACGCACGGCGCGCAGGGTGTAATGTGAAGCTCTAGGCTTGCTTTTAAACATTTTGAAGCTTTTCCAAAATAAAAAGCAACTTTGAGGCTTTCATTAGAAAGATCATGCACTGGTCTTTAATAAATAATCTGTTTTTAATCGGTATAGATGAAAACTAACATAACCACTTCGTGTTTTGACATAGCGCGTCGTCTGCTCACATCCTACCAGCTCCATCACAGGAGGGCGCCCACAATGTGGCGCCACCAAAATATCTCGTCGCCAATAAAGATGTGGTTTGCCATCCAATTGGCTGGCAAACCACCTGGAATGTCTGTCCTAACAACTAGGTACCATCACTTGTCCAGAAATGCATAGGAGGCTTTGCAACGGGGCTCACAAATCATAGATCACAAGTGGTTGATTTTGATGGGCTCGGTTTGAAAAGGGTTAAGGTATTCTGGCGTTTTCTTTATGTTCCCCAATTTACCTTGTAAATTAACCAAACATACCAACAAACATAGCTGAACTGGTAACCCGAATATTATACCAAAATAATTTTTTTTGTGAAGTTAATAAATGTGCAATTTTGGCCCTCACCGCAGTTCCGTGGTGTCAAATGAGTGCTTTGGAAGCTCGCTCCAGCACCCGCACAGGAGCACAAAACAAATGATTGGCATACTTTGTTTTTTAGACTGTCTGCTCGACCCACCAGCCCGCCTGCCAGTGATGTCATAGCACAGAAAGCGCGCGTATATTTGAATCTTGATTTGGGCATCTTTTTGATTTGCCGATTTCACAATAACTATTTTGGATATTGCGATATTGTCACGGGTGGTGACCAATAAACAATAAATAAACAGAAAGAAATAAACGTTTAATGTGGCGAACTTGTGCCAAAAATAAAAGGGTACAAAAGATAATAACGGAGCGTCGCGGGCGTCGAAATCGGCGTAGCAGCAGAGTCAAACGCTGGGCGAAAACTGACTGCAGATCAGCACGCGGAGTCCCTTATCTACGCGCGTTGGGTTCTGGAACAATCGGCCTAGATTGTTCGGTGACTGGAACATTCAGAACTCGATCTGACGAGAATGGTCTCTAACCCACGAGAATGCAATGAAAGAACAAATAAAAGAGCATTTTACTGACTGGAATCGAACCCAGACTTTCTGCACGACAGTCAAGCACAGTAACCACTCGGCCACGCGCGCGGTCGCTCGCTGACGAGCGTGGCAATATTAAATAGTATACTATAAAGGGTAAAGGCTGGGGATTCAGAAATGATAGCTATTTGGGCACAAGTTTCTTCAGGACGTCCTAATGCATCTAGATGGCGTTCTAGTGGCATCTAGACAGATTAAAAAGTTCTGATATTTACAGATTATTCTCTGTGCATGCTGCTTTAGTGCCATCTAGACATTAAATTCGTAAATATGCAGACATTGTAAATAGCTTTTTTTTTCTTTAATAAATAGGTTTGATGAATGGTTGGGAATAATATTTTTTTCTTCTTTTAATATATGCAGGACTAAGTAAGGGAATCAACAAGCCACGAAGGATGCAAAATCAGCACATGTACATTTGCGTAGAGATAGGTAAAAAACTCGAGAAACAACTTCGGAAGGCACAATGAGGTTTCTGGGGATGTGGACGGAGTGTTACAGTTCAGCCACGGCGGCGTGAGCCCCTAAACATTGGCTTATATATAGGGCTTTGCGTTTTCGGTTTTTATTTTGTCGAAGTTCAGCCTGCTTTTTTCGGTGTTTATTTAAAAATTCAATTTTATGGCTCATTGGATATGTTTTTTGGCGGTGGGGGCAAACTTTTGTCCAAAGCCTAAACAGAAATATGCTACCTCTCCCGCGGCTCTTAGAAGTTTCGTGGTTTTGTTTGCGGCTCTTAGTCCGGGTCAGCCTGGCCACTCCTGGTATATACGCATTTGCAATTATTCTTAATTGCCGATGACAATCACATCGACTTTTCGCCGCAACTGCCACGCCTCCTCATAGTTAAAGAGAAATTCTGCAAAATTTTTCGGGAAAATGTGAAACTTGGTTTTCAGCGCTCCGAGCATAATCTTAAAGATTTGTGACTTGTTTTGGTAATAATCCCTGGTGTACTTGTTTTCGTATTATATCCCCGGGGGGTGCCATACCTGGGATGCCCCCAGAGGTGGCACCCCCCCGGTACCTGGGCCCCCCCCCACCTTTCTGTTACTATGCCACTAGTTAAGTTGTACATAAAAGTGCACCTCATAAATCAGGCATGAGTATGTAAACTATGAATGGGTATTGGAGCAACCTTTGAAAATGAATGGCCTTAGTGCGGTGTCATGTCCTCATCATTACCATGGGAACAAGTGGAGTTTGCAAAGTCGTAAAAAATTCTCATTGTTTTGCACAAAATTTTTGACATGATAACTAGAAAAGGGATACGGTGGAAAAATGTTCTCGTAAGACCCATGCTGCCTGATGAACACAGGAATCTGCAATTCTGGATCAAAATTGACTAACCTCTGATAATTTGCTTCCTTTGGTGGCTAAGGAACAAACTGGTTTCATGGCAAAACTAGTGTGTAAGCATATCTTCTCATTAGTGACAAGGCCTATAAGAATGAGCATCTTTTAATGTAATCTGGTAGGGACACTTGCACCCATTTTAACTGGACCGTGTTCTGACACGTGCCAAGCAGCATCACAGTATTCAAGATAGTAACTTTCACTAAACAAAAACAATAGATTGCATTTTTAGGAAAATTAAACAGTTCAACTTGCCTGAACCTGATATTGTAAGATTGTTTGGAGGTATGGGAGAGGTCACACTATAAAGACAGTCGCCATGAGGTTTTAATGTGTCGTTTGAGAACTAGGCATTCACGTGTGACCCTTTGACATCTTCTTTGTGGTGAGGACACTCCAGTCCGCAAGCTTTCCGGTGAATTGCTAACTATATTGCACTGTCTATGGCACTGCAGATTCTTTGATGAAGAACATCAAGCAAATTTCTCTTCACTTTCAGGATACTGTAAACAACTTAATTTTCGCGAAAACCTAATTTTCGGGAATTTCGCGAAAAATAGATCGCGCAAACGATTCCGGTAAAATGTGAACACAATGCAATCTATATTGAGATCCCACTGCGTTGCAAAACTTAGAACCTGTGAATTATTCTAAAAAATTCAGCTTTGACCTAAATCGGAAAATATTGAGCCCGCGAAAAATAAGTCATTTACAGTGCAACTCACTTATAACAATACCACATATAACGATGAACCGCTTAAAACGATCAGTTTCTAGAGTTTCTAGACTTTAAATGATCAGATCCTAGTCCAGATAAAACGATAATCGGTTATAACGATTGAAATCTCGGGTTTTCTCATTACTGTTAGAAGTGGGTTGCACTGTACGGTATCTTCCATTTCATTCAGCCTTTCTGCTGGTAGATGAACCTTTAGTTCCTTTTGTTCACATCTTAGACTTTCTTAAACTGGCTACCTGGGCAAGTTATAGATCTACATAGTAATTCCTTTCTTTTACTATAGACTCTTTTAATTAGTTCTTTGGCATATCATGGCCTATGCTGCTTTTTGTGCCATCAAAAATCTTAATAATTATCATCATCACCATGTTCTGACATGCGCCAAGTGGCACCTTGGTTTTCAAGATAGTAACTTTCACCGAAGAAAAATAATAGATTGCATTTTTAGGAGAAAGTAAACAGTTCAACTTGCCTGAACCTGATATTGTAAGATTGTTAAAGGGCAACTCCAGTCAAAATTAAACTGAAATAAATTGCTGGTATCGCTTTAGACACAAAATATGATAGCAGCAGAAATATTACGTCTAGGTGAAGTCTCGTGCTCCACGAAAACCAATAATAAAGATGCGACCAGCTTCACTTCAGCAGGCGGCCAGTGGGTTAGCTGTTTGCCAAGCAACACTGGGCTACAACATAACATTGGTTCTTTGGTTCTTCAAACACCCACCTGCAAGCAGACATACAACAAGCAAAAACACTTGCAAACAACCATAATGGCGTCTGAAACTCCTGCCACTTAATTGTACGATTGAACAATTAATGAAGAGTATTCACTTACTCCTTTTATGTATACCATTGATATTAATTTCTGCAAGAAAAAAAGCAAATAAATACTCGGGGTCAACCTTTTGTGGCATTTTAGTACTGAAGACTCCACGTGCACAGCTTTCATCGGTTGTCAAGGTGTATGAGCGCACGGGCACCCATAGCCTTGTATTCATGCTACAGAAACTTGTCCCCAAGTGTAGCAATGCAACCACGCTGCACGCCTTGTGCTGGCCCCCAGTGACCAGCACCGAATGTGCCGCAGCAATGACGCGAAGCCTGATGACCAGTGTTGCCGTCCATCTTGGGTAGTTTCATTTTTGCCATAGATGCCTGTAACCAAACCCGTGATATTTACTAAACTACACGGTGTCGATGTAAGAGATCTACTTTGTATTTCGGGGACACTGATTGAGCTAAAAACAGTCGTAATCCCAAATTCTAAAATATTGGCTGGAGTTGCCTTTAATTGAAAGTATTTTAGTGTTACCATGAACTGAATCCAATGTTTGTTAAGAAGTGAAACCACGGTCTGTGAGCAAAGTATTGTGCAAAGTGATATGACTGCTCATTTCTGAGCCAAATGGTTATCGTAGTTGTGTTTTATACGTGTTCATAATTATAAACATACGGGTTTTTCTTTTTAGGGGAACGAGCTGCACCGTTGCGAGAGACCAGCCGCATGTTGAAAGCCACTGAGGACATTCTTTTCAGATGCTGTTTTTGCACCCATGTCACCGCAGATCCGCGTGGGCTCGCTAGCCACCTTCTTGCCCATGGAGACGAAGAAAAACCCAAGGGCCAGCATTGTTTTTCAGTCCTTAGATCTAGGTCCATATTGAGCAGTCCTGTTGTGATCGATGGACCTGGTACGTCATTGAACTGTCCTAGCACCATGGATGCGCCCGAAACCTTCACCCAGCTTGTATACATTCCAATTCACATGGCTGAAAAACTCTATAAGTGTGAGCTGTGCCCCCAAATTTTCAGAAGACTTGAATTTTTGACAATTCATTTTAGAGAGCACACAGGTGAAAAACCGTACAAGTGCAAGCGTTGTCCCGAAAGGTTTTCGTCTAGTCATAGCTTTGCTAACCACACTCGAACGCACATAAATGAAAGACCTTACAAATGCGAGTTATGCCCTGAAAGCTTTGTTTATCCTAGGAACTTGACAAGGCACATTCAAACACACACTGGTGAAAAACCTTACAAGTGCAAGCAATGCCCTAAAGCCTTTGCTCGGAGGGATACTCTTAATGACCATATGCAGATGCATGAAAGTGGAAAACGCTACAAGTGTGAGCATTGTGCTGAAACTTTTCTTCGGAGATCCATTCTTATCGGGCACATACTATTGCACAGGGATGAAAACCCTTACAAGTGCAAGCTATGCCCTAAGGTCTTTAATTGCCATGGAACACTGACTAAGCACATTCAAAAACACACTGGTGAAAAACCTTTCAAGTGCAAGCTGTGTCCCAAAACCTTCGATGGAAGCTTTAACCTGAAGTGCCACGTTCGAACACACACGGGTGAAAAACCTTACCAGTGCGAGCATTGTCCTCGTGCCTTTGCTTATAAGAACAGTTTGATTATGCACAGTGAAACACACACTGGTGAAATGCCATACAAACGCAAGCAGGGCCCTGAGGCGTTCACTCGGCTTGAGGTGTTGACCAATCACATTGAATTGCACGAGGATGACAAGCCTAATCAGTGCCCCATATCCTTTGCTCAGAGCGATTCGCTTGATGGCGATGTTCAGACATTTAACCATAAAATATGTTACAAGTGCGAGCATTGTCCTAAAGTTTTTGCTTGGAAACATGCTCTTGTCAACCATGTTCGAACACACACAGGTGAAAAACCTTACAAGTGCAAGCAGTGCCCTAAAGTCTTTGCCCGGAGTGATACTCTCAGTAACCACATGCAGACGCATAAAAGTGAAAAACGCTACAAGTGTGAGCATTGTGCCAAAACCTTTGTTCGGAAATCCTATCTTATCCGCCACATACTATTGCACAGGGATGATAACCCTTACAAGTGCAAGCATTGTCCCAAAGTCTTTGCTTGGAAACATGGTCTTGTCAGGCATGTTCGAAAACACGCAGGTGAAAAACCTTACATGTGCAAGCAATGCCCTGAAGCCTTTACTCGGAGTGATACTCTTAGTGACCACATGCAGACAACACATGCATGCAAATAAAAGTGAAAAACGCTACAAGTGTGAGCATTGTGCCAAAACTTTTGTTCGGAGATATGGTCTTATTAGTCACGTGCAAGAAAAGCACACTGGTTAAATTTCTCACAATTGCAAAGCAGGCCCAAGTTCTTTGGAATGTTTATCGAATCCATCACTCGAGCATGTGTGTTACAATTGCTGGCCATCTCGGAACAATTATTGATTTGTCTTGCTTCAGCAGGCATGTGTAAACATGTAAACATCACAAATGATAAAAAAATTTGTTTAAATGATCTAGATATGACAAATTTTTTAAAACTGTTTTTCTACAGGAAAAAAATATTTTTTCCCACAATGTTTATGCTGTTAGACATAATTTGGATGGAGATCACTGCCTGCTCTAAGCCCTGCCCACAGAAAAACGGTCCCACCCATTACTAGAGTGTCTTGGCTGTTCGGCCGTACATGCTCGCAAGCCTAGGCTCCCTGAGACGCCGTCCGGTGCATCTGGTCTGGCATCTGACGCTGCCTGCTAGTCGTGCGGGCAGACGAGTGGCAGCCTCCGGCATTGTTTGGTAATCTACCACCGTTTATCATTGTCTGCATTATACCTAGAAGTTGTGGTGTGGCATGAAAAATCATTGTGCGGTCCTCATTACCTTCATATTTGATGCTTGCTTGCTTAATATAAGTGTACAAAAGTTTCTCGGAGATAGTGTAGGAAACTACCGACGAATATTGCCGCGTGTGTGGAGGAGTTGGCAACGCGGCTGCCACTTGGAGGAACAAAGTTCAAACCCCACTCGGCCTGCTTCATTTGTACATCTATCAATGTTTTTATGGAAAGTCTTAACCCGTTCTTTGCTGTTGCCATGTGTTCTGGTTTTGAACATTCCTGAATGTACAGCGTGTACAAGAGGAGCGGTAACATTCTGCTTTGGCACAGTGACCCTTCCGTCACCAACTCGGGATACTCAGTACCCTTTGTTTTCATCCGTAAACACAAGTTTGCCTCATTAAACATTCACCTGCAGTTTTACATTCATTTACCCTTTTCCATCCATAACAAATCACTAACACAAGCATTTAGTGTAAGATTATGGAACACATCCTTTATAGTAACATCATTACTCATGTTTTCATGCTTTGCATGCCTCACACACAAATCCTGTCAGGGTTATTTTTGTAGCACTCGTATAGTTTTCATTTATGACTTTGCTACAGATATCGACAAGCGATGGAGTGTTCATTGAGTGTTTCTTGATTTCAGTACAGCTTTTGATGTCGCTCTTCATGATCTCTCAATGTCTAAGTTCCGCCTTTATACAGTTGACGACAAACTTTGCAAATTAGGCTACGAGTGGTATTATCTAAAAAAGCAGGATGTGGTTTTTAATGGTTTCCAGTCCAAGACGGTTGATGCCACTTCGTGCATACTTCAAACCTCTTGACTATGACCACTCTTGTTCCCATTTTGCATAAATGATGTTGCTGTTAATGTTTGAAATTGACAGTCGTCTGCATGGGTCAACAGTGTACATAAGAATGTGATTTTAGAAAAATACTGATAGCATTGAATCGTGTGGATTGTGTGCAAATGACAATCTAAAGAAAGCTGCGCATGTCATCTTTATAAAAAAAAAAGTATCAGCCCTGGCATTTATTTATATTTGTAAATAAATAACGAAAGTGGAAACTGAATGAATTTAAATATTTGGGTATACCTTTATCTCCCACCTGTGATGTAGCAACCATGTTTGCTATATCTCCCTGAAAGCCTCATTGGTGATTGGGTTTTTACGTCGCAATTTTAAGCTACCGCAACTTATTTTTCACATGATCATTCCATTCTTGGATATACATGAGTTGCTTGACCTTTGTACTGTATTTTCTGCCCAAATTATTGAGAAAGGTCAAAATCTGGCTTGAATGTTTGTTTCGGAAAATTACGATTAGTCACTAAGTAGGCCAGATTGTAAACATAGGCAATTACTAAACGATCCTAGGAAACTCCCGTCTCAAAGTTTTTCACTATATTTATAATAAAAAGATTGGTGTAAACAAAAATAAGCATATGAAAAGCCCTTTTCTAGACATTGCTAGAAACTACTTTAAGAATAGAGAAGTTGCATTTTGCGGTAACATACTGCAACACTTTTTGTTGTAGAAGCTGCGTGTGATTTCCGTCACACAGTCATCACATTCAATGATGCCCTCTTTATGCACCAAGTATGTAATTCATCTGTTAATGTGCATTCACCCTACTGTATTATCAAGTGGAGAAGCTGGTAGTTAAATCAAGTAATAAGGGTACGCTAATGTCATATATGGAAAATAAATATTTTAAAACGAAGGACGTCTCGCGTGAAACAAAGGTGTTCGAGAGTTATGGTCTGTGCTGAACAAATTTTATTTTAACACCAATATAAGTCACCTTTATTGAATTCACAGTGTGTTGCAGGTTAGAATACCAGGACAAGTGCCTAGGTTGTTTGCACATGACGTCAATTCGCCATTTTGTTGTTAGTTTGTTTTTTCAAACAAATTTACTACATTGAAGGATTACATCGTAACCGATTGAGATGATGTCAGCGGTGCTCTACGCATTTGAGGGGACTTGTAAATCCTTGGAATGCTCGAGTTTGGCACACCCAGACAGCGCACAACAACAAAATGGTGGACGAAATTACGTCAGTGAAAACACACTCCACTTTAGCAAAATGGTTGCTGTGCTAAAGCAGTCTCTTTTCTAAAAAAAAAAAATTCTACTCCAAATCGCCGTGTTTTCCCATTAACAACGTGTTGCATTGTCTTGGAGTGGTGGAACTGCTGCGCTAATTGCGCCAAACTGTGCCAGAATGAATAACCTGCTAGATGCTGCCCGAAAGGCTGTATTTCTGCACAATTTGCTCCATGTCTGTGCCGAAAAGGAGCTTTTCTTAAAAAGGAAACAAAGTGTTTGGCACGTGGCATTGTTGGCGATGCCTCTGAGAATTAATGAAGAAAGTAGAGTTTTTTTTTTTTTATAGGGCTGCATGAATATTCTAATTTTCTAATAGTATTTCTGAATAATCTGTTATTTGATAATAATGCAATTAATGCAAAGGTGCAAGCGAGGTGGGCAAGAATGACGATCATCCCCGGGAGAAGCTAGGGGAACACAAAGCTCCAAGCACAGCTAGGCGATTGGTGCTTAACCGAAAAAATCCGCCTGGTCCTGGTTAGCTCGGTTGGTAGATCGCTCCACTGGAACTGGAGAGGTCCGTGGTTCGATCAGGAACAAGCGAATTGCCTGGTCCTGAATCCCAACACTCCAACAACTGCAATTTTTTCTACGGGCTAACTTTCAAAGAGATTATATAAAACTTTCTGACATGAAAGCTCGAAATTGTCTGCTCCAAAGGTGGAAATTTCTGCTCCAAACAGTGTTGAGAAGTACTTAAAGTACTACTTTAAGTAGATTTAGGAAACTTGTACTTTACTTGAAGTACATCTGGTACTTTCCGAGGAAAGTACAATTCCCGACTTCAAAGTACATTCCCCAAATTTAGTTTTGTCAAATTTGTATCACGACATGCTGCTTTGTCAATTCCGAAGAAATACTGGGAGGGATATTCTATCTACTCTTACCAGAAATGTGAGCAGACGACGCTTCGCTCCGTTTTTTCTGGGGGCAGCTTTCACGTAGCTTTTTGAACTATCGCTACTTCTCGGTCGGTCAGCGCAAGAAAGGAGGTTTAAAATATTAGGAGAGCAAAATTAATCATAATGTAGCACCCGAGATTGTTTTGCGGAAAAATTAAATTTTCAAGTTGAAGTAAAAGACAACAGAAAACAACGTCAAAATGTTTTGAGAGATTATCTTTTGTCTTTTCCTTCTATTTGAAAGTTCCTCAATTTTTTAGCACCCCAATCTCAGGTGTCACATTATAATTAATTATCAACAGCTCGCTTGCACACTCGCTGTTTTTTTTTCATTAAGAAGAGGACACTCCTTTATGAAAGGGTAGCTTGCGGAAGCTACGGGGCTGATGTCATGCTCTCTCCTAGTGCAACAATCCAGCGCCAGGGGTGCAACAATCCAGTGCAAGGGGCGCCAAATTCAGAAGAGAGACTTCTGAATTTGGCTCCATTCCTGAAAATAACTGCTCTGTGGCCACTTGACTTTATTGAATATTTGCCGCTGTCCTTGAAAATAAGTCATGCACCCCTGATTATCCCTGGGCAATGCATACCTTTTAAAACAATCACTGTATAGGGTAATAGAAGGGCATCATGAAAGATTGTGTTAGAATACTTGTGCTTTACTTGCAAAGTACATTGTATTTACAGTACTTTACTTCAAGTACGTGGCACTCAGTGTATTTAATACTTGAAGTACATCACGTCTCATTTATTTTGTACTTTACTTGAAGTACCCTTTAGATGTACATTACCGAACACTGGCTCCAAAACCCACTCTCCCCTGCTACAAGAGCTGCTTCAAATCATCACTTGTGAGTTCCACCGCTGATCTTGTCTTCATAAAAAAATACTGCAATTTGAAATGTAGCTTCCAGACTGACATTTTTGTCGCAGTACGCAGTCTTGCTCCTTCGTTATGTAAAGAACTTCTCACAACATAAATCTTTTTTTCTTTTTTTTTTTTTAATTTGTGCCCAAGTGCAAGTTTTAGATTTCTGACACTATAAGCACATCCATTAAGTGTGCTTATATACACCCGATAGTAGTTTGAAGCATCAGCATGCATCCGTCATGTAACGAGTCTGCCTTCGTTCGGAAATTTGTTGGAAAGATTAAAGCGTTACTTCTCGTCGGTTACATTATGATGTGTTCAGCTCCTAAACCGAGTGTGCAAACGGAGGTGTGTTCATGATCTTTAACTCTGGTGACTGGGAAGGAACTTGAAGATATTATAAGGGATAGAAAAAAGGTGACAGACAGCATCTCAAATTTGGCTAACAAACTTTTTTTCGTACCACGCTTTTCTGTCCACTTCCCAAGGTCGCCCACAATGCAAAAAAACAAACGAACAAACAAGATTTGTCCTTCAGGTCACCCAATTTCTAAGCCAGTTCGTTCCAAACATACCAAGGCTCAAAACAATATCGGTAGGAGTGGGAGGGACCCAACCGAAACTGTCCAGCAAAATTAAGTTCTCCGCATACGGACGTTGCTGATCCACACATACTGTACATGGGCGTCGGCAGGGAGGTGCAAAAGGGGCACCTGCCTTTTAAAAAAATCACTGTATAGGGTAATAGAAGGGCATCATGAAAGATTGTGTTAAAATACTTGTGCTTTACTTGCAAAGTACATTGTATTTACAGTACTTTACTTCAAGTACGTTGCACTCAGTGTATTTAATACTTGAAGTACATCACGTCTCATTTATTTTGTACTTTACTTGAAGTACCCTTTAGATGTACATTACCCAACACTGGCTCCAAAGCCCACTCTCCCCTGCTACAAGAGCTGCTTCAAATCATCACTTGTGAGTTCCACCGCTGATCTTGTCTTCATAAAAAAATACTGCAATTTGAAATGTAGCTTCCAGACTGACATTTTTGTCGCAGTACGCAGTCTTGCTCCTTCGTTATGTAAA